GGTGTAGAAAATGCACGACAACTAATCGTCCCAAACCCTACATTTAACTTCTGTTAWCCCTAGACACCCTATCCCTGACCTCACTAACTACAATTAACCAGTAATCCTGATCCCTAGTAGTAATCACGGACCCCATCCAAAGACCCTATGTGTCGCAAACCCAGAAAAGCCCTGTGCGTCAATAACTGATGCGAGGGGGTYACCGGACACTTCAAAACCAGACGCAGAGGGAACCTGGACAAGCCTCAATATGTGAWGAGTTGAAAGTGTGAATGTGTTGGGGAAGTGGAACACTGACGGTTGATTTGTGAAGAAAAACCTGGCCTTCTTCAGGGATCAGTGGATGTCCAATATCTACTGTGCTCATCTGTTTCAGATGGGAAGAAGGCTCTTTACTAAGTAACTAGTGCTAAATTGCTGTGCAAAAAAAAAAAAAAAAAAATCGCTGCCACTATTAGTAGGGATGGTGCGAGTGATATACTAAGATTTCAGGTGCAGTTAATAAACGAAGCAAAAGTAGAGAGGACTCAACAAAGGATGCAAATGAGCTTAATTCCCCTTCTTAAAGAATACAAATGAAAGCACAGTCACATTAATTGTGAGTGTTGCCAGTGCACAGAAAACTAAGTGAATTCTCAGTTTAAAAGATTTATTCTTCAGCTCTAAAAAAAACCATCTCATCGCTCAGAGCCACTGTCTGTGTGTATGGCCCTGAGTCTTATCAGAACCAAAACAATGACTTTCTACTTCTGCTGTTGGCTACGCTAAAGACTCCCCAGAGTCTTAAGTCTTATGTGTAACCCAAACATCACACCTCTGGGGCAGTACCTTTCATGTCAGCACTGTTATATTATTGATATGTTAAGAAATCCTTGTTTCTCCTGCTGAGGGGCGTATTACATAAAAACATACTGATTCTCTTCCTGTTTAAAGTAAATCTAATTGATCACAAAGTGCAAAATAAAAGACTGTATCTCAAATTCTCATAATCAGTCACATTTCCTTCACCAGTGTGCAATTATTGTAATGCAGGCTGCGCTTGGTGAAAGATTTGGAAGTGGGGACAACCACTGGGTTACAGCCCTGGATGTGAACCCATTCTCACTGAACATGTCTGCATTCACAGCAGGAAGTCTGGCTGATATTGAAATTGAACTTGCCAACATAGCAGATGAAGATTTAAGGGTTGTCCAAATTTAGAACAGCAAAAGAAAACTCCCATCAGAAGACCGATCTTTGCTGGAGTAAACCTCCCCAAAACCGAGACACTTGTTGTTAAAACGGGATAATGTTCTGGGCTTGTAGGTAATAAAAGTCCTGTCCATCTTTGGCCCAACATACATGGTCAGGTTTTCTAGAGCTCAAACTTTGCAAAGTCCAAACAATGGGCCTCATGCTAGAACATGTTCRTATTCTTATCCTAAATTTCTCTTACTTTTGTTCGTATGAAGGGTTCGTACGAACATGTCACGTCAGATTCAACAAACTCTTCTATCTTCAGGAAAAGTGTGTAAATGAGCTGCGTAAATTCCACCTGTTCGTATCCAGCTGCTCGTGCACGCGAGAGGTTACAGTATTTACATAATTACCACCCCCAAAAACACCATATAAGGCTATGTTTCCTGCTTCAGATATCAGGAAGTGTCCATTCATGAATGACATCGCAGTGTAAAAAAGAAGAACTGCACGAGTTCAGAGATTGTAGTCCTGCTCTCCGAGATCGAGAAAAGAAAATCTGTTCTCTTTAGCAACGTCATGTGG